ATTGATACAAACATTAAAAAAAGAAATTATAAGTGCTTTCATGGGTTCACTGAATATCTTGATCCCCCAGGCTTCCATCTTTCCCCACAAAGTCTTATTTACCACTGAGGTTTTCACAGATAGCAATTCTCAAGGTGTGAGAGAGACACTGCCTGTTACAGCGCCTCTAGAAATGCTGTGCGATTCATGCAAACTATAAACCACTATGAAAGTAAAAGAGAGAGTGAAAAATACTTCTGTGTTAGGCAGACACTGCCTTTCATGCTGTAAGGGACAAGAGGACCCTAGGCAGCTGTTTCTTTTCTCCTGGGAGAATGGGAGTCGTGGAGTCAGAGACAGCTGAGGAGGAAAGTTTATAAAAAACCTCCGCTGGACGGTAATGGCAGCAATGACACGCAGAGCTGAAACCGTGAGGGGAGCTTCCTGGGCTTTAATAGCAAGCTGACCTGAAACTTCAGAATCACGAACAACTGATTAGGGTTTACTGAAACATATATGCAAAAAAAAAAAAAAAAAAAAGATTAGTTTAAACTGAAAGAAGTTAGGACTTTGTAAAATGCCCACATATTTCAACTTCTTATTCCTGGGAGTGTTGGCCTAAAAATCGTCATCTGCTTCTCTGTGCCATGTAAAATAAGACCAACAGCTTGCTGCTCTCTATTTGAGTTAAGGATGCCGATGCTCAGAGCCTGGTGGTGACAGTGGCCACGCCCACCCCTCTCCAGGGTCCTACAGTCTGTGACCCTCCTGTGGAAATGGCAAAATTCTCCCACGACTGGGAGAACAACGAATGGCAAAGCTCTGCTGTGGGATGCAGAGCTTTAGATTCCAGAGAGAAAGCTGTTTCTAGAAAATGTCTTTCTTTAAAACAATTTTCTTGTTTTTAAAAGAATCAAAGACCCAAGGCAAAGAAAAGGTTTTCAGTTTGCGCACTCAGATGTGAAAGCAGGGTCGAGGTGAGACACCGTGGGTGGACGATCATCTACATCGGTGGCACACCGTTTTTAAACACTAAGGCTGAGTTTGCAAATCATTTAGGGCCTTTTAGAAACTTCACAGCTCACCGTCAAACCCAGTTAGTTTATTTGACTCTCTTAACTTTGCTCAAAGATTTCTGGTTGGAGAAAATGAAATGTACCTAAAATTAATTTCCAGGCTTTCTATTCCACTTTCCCAAGATGTTCCTTTGCTTTCCTCTTGAGCAGAGGTTTATTACACTGAAGATCAGCCTGTGCAGGCCGACCCAAGAAGAGCTTGAGTTTCCAGAGGTGGGACACTTGCTCAGCAGGTCCTCAGGGAAGAAGCATGCAGCAAGGAACCGCAGTGTCCCTCTCAGGCCCCCCTACTGGCTGCTACCTCAGCTGCTTGCTTTGGATTCATCCTTCCAGGATTTTTTCAAAGTGGAACTCTCCAATCGCCTGCTGTAAAGCGTGTGCTGGCTGTTTCTGGCTCTCCACACATGAACTTGGTTTGAGAGAATTAAGCCCACCCAGAGAAAAGGAGAGCTAAGGGTTGCAGACAGATGAGTTCTGGTGGCATTTTAGTTTTGCTCTTCCTGAATTTCGATCATGTAAGTCAAAAAAAGCAAATTCCTTTTTGCTCAAGCTAGCCTGATCTGGATTTCTATCACGTGCAACCTGAATCCTCAGCTATTTCTAAAAACTTGTGTATAAACCTCATTTCCCCTCAAACAAGTAGTAAAATATTTCACACGAGCATGTTAAAAGAATTCTTTTGAATTATAAAAATTTATTTTGTAAAACAAATAATCATTTTCAAATTTATTTTCTGTGTAAATCCAAATTTTTAAGTATTAGATTTTCTTATAATACACCAGTGTTATATACAAATGGAGGGAATAACAGTTGAAATCCAGTGTTTGCAGAAGTTGTTCTAATTTTTCATATTTAATTGGAAAGATTAGAAAAGTGTATTAGACATGTAGAATTAAGTATTTTATTTTAGATAAAAAATATTATACCCACTCTATTCTATAATAACATGTAATTGAGTATTTGCTTAAGTAATAAAAGGGTTAAGAAATGACTTGGGTTATAATCAGAGGAACGTAAGTATAAATCTGTAAAGATAGGTATTTTCTAAATAAAATTCCAGTAAAAGGCTATATAAAACATTTTATATACATAAAGAATAAATTATGCCTGGTTAACATGTCTTTTGCTTTAGTATCAGAAAAGCCACAACACATGTAATAAACGTATGTTAAAGCCAGAGTTTTCCAGACACGAGTCCCATAGCACCGTCTAGATACTATCTGCTCAGAAATGATGCCGACGACGTCAACACAGTGTAGCAGGGCAGAGGAAGAGAAACGCTCACCAACGCTGACTGGCTTAGTCAACAGGCAGAGGCTGGAGAGGAGGAGACCGGGACGTGAGAGGGAAGACCACGCCACCAAGTGCAGCCACAAGGGGAAAAGCACAAGTCTAGCAGAGCCGACCCCTGCGGGGACGTGCTTGCTGTGGCTCAGGGTTGTTTTTCTGAAGTGTTCAGAGACAAATTCCAGCAAGATGTCTGGTTTGAGTCAAGTCTTACTTCTTGAACTTGTGACTTCTCAGCGGAGGCACTTGGCATACTTAAGGGAAAAAATGAATACATTCAGATTGTGTCTTGTTAGACATTAAGCTAGAAAACCAGCTGAGGAAGTAAGAGTGGCACAGAAATGAAAATCCGTTTCCTGTGAAGAACCGCACACACCAACAGGTTTAGCTAATAACACAGAAGGAAAGGAGTGGAGTTGGAGTTTAGGCTCTTTAAAAAAGAAAAAGGGCAGGGGAGGGGAGAGAAGGAGTGCAGAAGGACCCTCTAAGAATGGAGTGAGTAGTGCATGAAAAGGAAAAACCGAGATTCTGTCCCTCTGATGTCTGCTTTGGGCACCTGTGTCCAGCGGGCATGTTTTCAGGATCTAGCTACGGTTAATTTCCCTTGTGCTAGACATGGGTTATCTGAAGTTTTGCCAGGCACCTTCTCCCTTCTGAGTGCTAATGCCTAATTTCCTAAAGTGATCAGAACCCTTCTGAGCCAGGAAGTTGTCATCCTGTGTCTAGTCACAGCACGTCACACCGTTCAGACGTCTGGGCCAGCACTGGGAAGGTGCACTTGTATTTTTGGCTCATACGCTTTTCAAATAGAATATACTTGATTAAATAAAGGGAACACAGTCCTGAGCCCTCCTATCCTCCATATATGCATGCAATCCATGCCATCAAAAGGAGAGTTCATTGTTCCCAAGGCCAAAAAAAAAAAAAAAGCCTGTTCTGTATTGCAAAGAACTCTACAGCAAAATCAAGTGCCCAGATTAAGTGACAGACTGGTGCAGCCCACAATCACCAGCAGGAATGTCATTTGGAATACTTTTGGCAGATGAAAGAATGTCACCCCACTGTTATTTTGAAAGTATTTTATCAGGATGTAAGGTCACTTCACTCTCTGTTTTTAACCTACACAAGTTAGTGTTTGCTTTGAAACTTAACTGCACAAGGTACTTTTTCCTCCTGGAGAGTCTTTATTGAATTGACTCTTGGGTGGAACAGTGACGATGGGTAATTTATTCTACCAGTTTGATCAAGAAGTCTCTATGTGGTTTCTCCATTGCACCAGATTATGTGCACATGTGGGTATGTGGAGAAAGGCAGAAGAGGGGCCATCAGTCATCGTTTCTAAAATGCTTATTTTCCCCCACGTGCCAGTCATTCAAATAAGGTGAAAATGTGCTTCCTCAAAATAACCTCAGTTGTGTCTAGGAATTTATTTGAATTTATTTGTTTTAAATATAGAGGTAAAGTAGGCATAAAAACGCCTTTAATAACCAAAGAAATCAACTTAGATTACTAGGACCATACCTGGCATGACAATTCTCTAGGTTTGAAAGCCTGTGATTTGAGCTTGTAGTGGGCAAAGACATAAGTTTCACTAAAGACCTAAAGCTTATCCACTACCTAGATATCTAGATATCACTACAGAAGGAAAACTGAGAGCCTCCCTTGTACGCAAAGCAGGTGAAGACCAGAAGGAAGCAGACCCTGTCTCACAGGCTGACGCAGAGCTCCATGCCAAGAGCTGGCAGGTTTTCTAGGTAAATAATGCCACACATGGAGCACCATTACAGCTCTCAAATCAGGAGGGACAGGAAGAGGGGTCACATGAGAGGCAGGGAGGGAAATCCAGCACTCTAAGAGGCAAAAGAGTTCCCATTACAATTACGACACTTCATTAGGCAACAGGATTTTCTGGCTGGAGGGCACATAAAAAATAACCATAACAATAACTTACTAAGATAATAGAAATTGAAAGGAAAAAAATCTCCTTTGGGTGTAAAGTTGAGCAGTGTCATTAACATACCAACCAACTACAGTCAAAACACAATACAGTCATGCATCACTTAACGGGGACACATTCTGAGAAATGCGTCATTAGGTTATTTCATGGTTGTGCGAACATCATAGAGTGCACTTACACAAACCTAGATGATATAGCCTACTACAGACCCAGGCTATATGGCACTAATCTTATGGGAGCACCATCATATATGCAGTCTGTCGGCACATGACTGGACTCTAACACAGGGGCTGGCTGATGTTAGGGACTGGGTCATTAGGTAAAGAGGATTTGGTATTCTCAGTTTACTTTCAATGATTCTTCAACACTTAGTAAAGACATTGTGCCTTTTAATGGAGACCCAAAATCTTCTACGTGACACAAGACTTAAAAGTGTAGAGAATTATATAAATATTTACTGTTGGTACGCCCCACAGGTTAGATCAAGTTCACTGGTCCAGCTGAGTGGTCTCTGTCCTTTGTCCACCACCACTCAGCGTTATAAAGTCAACTAAACAGAAAAGATGGAAGGACCAATTATGAAATTCCTGACTTCTTTGCTTTGGTTATATGTCCATAATTTGCATAAAATAAATAATATGCATTAAGTCAAAATCAAGGTTAAAATTTGAAATGAGAAAAAAAAGCACAACAATCTGGAATTCTTCAGGCAAAACAATAGAGATCTCTTCAAATAGATGCTTTATTATATCCACAGGCGATAAAATCCCAGAGCTACTGTTAGGCATGTAAATACAGACCCTGTAAGAAAAATATAATTGAGCAGAGTATTAGTTCTATTAACTATTACTTGAGGGAACATCTTTTTATTAAGAAAACATACAGACACTCATCCACCAAGAAAAAAAAAAAAAAAAAAAAAAAAAAAAAACCAAGATTGCTTACTGATGTGCCATATTCCATGAAACTCCCGCCCGTTAAAATACCCCACACCTTGAAATTACCATCTTCAAAGTACAAATGTATCCAATATTCAAGAAAACCTTTCAATAAAAGTTTAGAATCACAAAAATTCTGTGGTCATTAAGAATACATATATGTACTATATAGGGACACACCCTTTAACTTTATGAGCAAAATTGCACTTCTAAATATTATTGTAACTTTAAAATATTGATTAATCCAAAATGTTAAATTTTATTTAAAATAATGGCTATGTAATTTTTTTTGTACATGAATCTTCATTCTCGCTTTCAGATCAAAAATTGCAAAAGCAAATTAACTCCTTATAAGGAGTATCACCAATTGAAGCAGAAAGATCACAACTCAAAAGCCTTTCATTCTAATATTCCCCATCTTGAATTTCACTAAAACAATTCCAAATAACTATAGTTCAATGATAGCATCTTATCAATTTTAAGATTCCATCGATTGTAAAGTACATCATTTCATTTACTAGTAAGAAAGAAAAAAATGCCTATTATAATACAATCTACTGGAAACTGTAAGATGCCTTCCAATTTCAGAGATGTTAAAACATGGAAAAAAATGTGTTAGAATCAATGAAATACACTATCTGTCTTTGACTTATTTTATAAATTTTATTTATTTTCAGCTTGGTTTAACTACCCAGATACAAAACAGCTTACCTGCTAAATATTTAATATTATCAAGCTTGTGTGACTCGAGCATGGTTTTCAGGCCAGCGACCTCAGTGTCTATCTTCCTGTCTGTCTGGGTGACGGCCCGGTCTTGCTGGGCATGCTTTTAAAACAAAGAGATTCACAGCATTAAACCACTTCATATACCAGCCCCTCTATTCTGTCCATCCTAGAGTTCCTTCCCAACAAGGTGCAGTCAAGGGGAAACCTGGGGTAGAATTGAGGAGACCTGGACCTTAGTCTTTGCTCTACTATCCTCATGCTATGTGGCACTGGTCAGGGCCTTGACCATCTGTAGGCCTGTTTCCTTCTGTTTGAAAATAGGAGAAAAAAAAAATACCATGGGCTCCGCCTCCAATTTAGAGAATCAAATGTGATAACCTATGTAAAAAAGCTTTTGTAAATTACAGATTGCTCTACAAGTAAGGTTAATATTACCAAGCCAGTCTGTTCTCAGTGGCAAGGAATATGTCTCATCCTTCTAAATTCCTCCTAGTGAAAGATACACAAAAATGCTTTAAAAAAATGAATGGAATCTTAGATAATTTACAAGCAACAGAGCTTGCCTTGACACTATTTCTGTTCACATTTTTTAAAGCTTTCTTCTTTTATAGTTCAAACACCAAGTGCTTTACTATTATGAGGCTTGGCTATACCAAGGGCCTATTTGTGTTCTTTCCCGAATATAATAGTTAAACTAGATACACAGTTAATTCCCCAAAGGGTGGTGAGTTTGGCTGATGTTATAAAGGGGTTGTAATATTTCATTAATGCATAAAAACACTGGAAATAATTCACTAAACATCCTAGGGCAAGTGAGTAGTTCCCTATGGATAACAATTCAGGTAATGAATAAGGAAATAAATGCCTGGATGAGGAGAGAAGTATTCCAGATTTCTCTCATGGAAGTCTCTTGTAGGTTTCAAAGGTCCCAGGTAATATAGGAGGGAAAAGAAGTAAGGCATGCTGTAAGTTAAAAATATAATAGAAATCTCCATTCCTTAGTATTCTTTACTTACTGAGACAAACTTCCATTAAGATAATCAAGGATTTTGTTAAGCGCAAAAAAATCCTATGATACTGCACTTCTGAGTATATACCCCAAAGAATTGAAAACAGGGATTCCAACAGATATTTGTATGCTCACGTTCAGCATTATTCACAATGGCCACATGGTGGACACAACCCAAGTGTCTATCGACAGGATAATCAAAATGTGGTATATACACTCAATGGAATATTATTTGGCCTTAAAAAGGAAGGAAATTCTGATACATGCTACAACATGGATGGACCTCGAGGACATTATGCTAAGTGAAATAAGCCAGTCACAGAAGGCCAAATACTGTATATTCCGCTTATATGAGGTACCTAGAGTAGTCAAATTCATAGAGACAGAAAAGTAGAATGGTGGTAGCCAGGGGCTGGGGGGAGGACGGAATGGGAAATTAGTGTTTGATGGGTGGAGTTTCAGTTCTGCAAGATGAAAAGAGTTCTGTGGGTGGATGGTGGTGATGGGTGCATACTAACGTAAACGTACTTAATACCACTGAACTGTACACTTAATCATGGTTAAGATAGTAATTTTTATGTGTATTTTACCACAATTAAAAAAAATCCTGTGACAGTAAACCTGCATATATCTTCCTATAACACATCATTACAAACAACAGTAACCATGCATGGGATGAAGCAAAGACAAATAAAATGACCAAAAAAGTCAGTTTCATTTCTTACCAATGCCACCATTTCTGTCCTCATTTCTAGCAGCTTCCTTTCGTTCAATGAATACTGAAAGAAACATGTAACATAGGTCAGATTCTGATTTATTGCTTTCTCTCTCTCCTTCTCCTCCTCTGGTGCCTTACATGTTCTGGTCTCAGTACTTCTAAGAACATGTAACACTATAGAAATCACCTCTGGGATAAAGCAGCCTACTTGCCCCTCTCCTTCAGATCTGTTTCTGAGGTTTCTTATTTATCTTCACTCATCGCTCCAACATCTGGATTCCCTTTGGTCATCCTTCACCTCTCTCTGCTGTTTTTCTCTTTCATGTCTTCACTGTGATGTCTCTAGGCCCCTCCCACTGTTATAATGGTATTACCTGGGACCGATTTAGAGGGATGCTGAGTCATATGCTTTTTGGCATTCAGAGGGTTGAAAAAAGTCGGAAATAATTTAAATTAGGAGCTCTCCCATAATAACTACAAACAAACCCAGTCACTACGTGAGGCTTAGACAAAAGATAGGAAAGACATCAAGTCGGGAAAAAAATAGTTTCAAAGAATATTATTCTGTGACATAGACATTGCCTTGTGATTATAAAACACAACGTAAATACATAGATACAAGAAATATACTAAACCATCCCATGTTGGTTTTAATTAAAAAAAAAAAACCCAAGTTACGTCAGCATCATGGTGGAGTGAGCTATTCCCCTAGGCTCTCTCCCCTAAGATACAACGAAAAGGATCTTTATTAACTGACAGAGGACATTCACACAACACAACAGACGTCTAAGAGATCCACACAGCCTTATGTCTGAAGGTGGTGCTGGAAGCCTGGAGGCAGTGGAAGGAGGTAAGCGGATCTCCTCTCCCTCCCCAGTGGCAGTGATCCAGGGTGCGGGACCTCATGCAGCAGCTGGAGTGCAACTCTGAGAGTAGAAGGGGTAAAAGGCAGCCCTGTGCAGGAACGCTTTCACTCTTGGAGTTGCTTCTCAGCCCCTGGGAAAGCTCCACACCAAAGTGGCGAAGCCACCACGGGGGCGTCCACACCAAGCCAAGCAGCCCAAGCGGACTGCTAGTGACTGCAGAGCAGGAGACAGCAGGTGGGAAAGAAGGCACCTCTCTTCCCTCATCCTGCCTGGCACATCAGCTCGGCCGGTCAGCCAGGGCAGGGGATCCCTGCCAGAGCACCTGCGCCTGCATGTGTGAAGCATCAGCGGCCAGACGCAGAGAGCCCTACTGGCACAACTTCAAATGGATGGGCACAACTGCCAGGGGTTGGCGGAAGGCTCAGAAAACTGTGGCAGGTGGTGGCAGGTGGAATCTGCAACCAGATACTACCACTACGTGCTGGCAAAGGTCCACTCTTTCAAACAGCATGAAGAAGTATATTAACACCCCAGACCAGAAGGAAAATGACAAGTGTCCAGAAATTAATCCTGAAGTCACAGAAATCTACAATCTAAATGACAGAGAATTCAAAATAGTTATCATAAAGAAACTCAATGAGTTATAAGAAAACTCAGAAACAGTTCAATGAACTCAGGAATAAAATTAATGAGCAGAGAAAATTCTTCACAAGAGAGACTGAAATTATAAAAAAGAAACAATCAAAAATGTTGGAGAGGAAGAACATAATGAACGAGATTTTAAAAAATCTGGAATCCTTAAAAAACAGAGCTGATAATACAGAGGACAGAATTAGTAATTTAGAGGACAGAAATAAAGAAATGCTTCAGATGGAGGAGGAGAGAGAACTAAGACTAAAAAGAAATGAAGAAATTCTCCGAGAAATATCCGACTCAATTAGGAAATGCAACATAAGGATTATAGGTATTCCAGACTCAGAAGAGTGGAAGAAAGGAACAGAGAGCTTGTTCAAAGAAATAATAGCTGAGAGCTCCCCAAACCTGGAGAAGGAGCTAGAATTACATGTAAATGAAGCCAACAGAACTCCTAATTATATCATGTCAAAAGACCTTCTCCAAGACATATATTAGAAAAAATGGCAAAAGTCAATGACAAAGAAAAAATATTAAGGGCAGCAAGGCAGAAGAAAATAACCTACAAAGGAACCCCTATCAGGCTTTCAGTGGATTTCTTAGCAGAAACCTTACAGGCTAGGAGACAGTGGAATGATATATTCAAAACACTGAAAGACAAAAACTTTCAGCCAAGAATACTCTATCCAGTGAAACTATCCTTCAGATACAATGAAGAAATAAAAACTTTCCCAGATAAACAAAAGCTGAGTGAGTCCATCGACACAAGACCCCTGCTACAAGAAATCATCAAGAAGGCCCTGAGCTTAATTATAACATTAAAGATAAAGGGAAAGAAAGCATCAAAAATAACTATAATCACTTCATTTTAATCACAAACTCACAACGCAAATGGAATAAGTTGTGACAACAATAACTTAGATGGGGAAGAGGAAAGGGACGGAATTGGCTTAGACTAAGGAAAAAAGAGACTATCAGAAAAGGGACTATCTCATCTACGAGATCTTTTATACAAACCTCACGTAACCACTAAACAGAAAATCAGAACAGAGACACAAATGATAAATAAAGAGAAAACTGAGAAAACTGTCATAGAGAAACACCAAACTGAACTGGCAGTCAGAAATACATGGGATGAAAAACAAGGGAAATACAGAACAACCAGAAAACAAGTGATAAAATGGCAGCATTAAGCCCTCATATATCAATAATCACTCTAAATGTAAATGGATTGAATTCTCCAATCAAAAGACACAGAGTGGCTGGATGGATTAAAAAACAAGAACCAACAATATGGTGCCTCTGGGAAACACATCTCAGCTCTAAAGACAGAAAAAGGCTCATAGTGCAGGGATGGAAGACGATATTCCAAGCTAATGGCAAACAAAAGAAAGCAGGTGTTGCCATACTTATATCACACAATGTAGACTTCAAGATAAAAAAGTCAATGAGAGACAAAGGGGGCCAGTATATTATGATAAAAGGGACACACCACCAAGACGACATAATACTTATAAATATATATGCACCCAACACAGGAGCACCACAGTACATAAAGCAACTATTAACAGACCTAAAAGGGAAATTAATAGCAACACAATAGTGGTAGGGGACCTCAACACCCCACTTACACGAATGGATAGATCACCCAGACAGAAAGTCAACAAGGAGATAGTGAAATTAAATGAAAAACTAGACTAGATGGACTTAACAGATATATATAGAACACTCCATCCAAAAACAGCAGAAAACACATTCTTCTCAAGATCACACGGAACGTTCTGAAAGGCAGACCGTATGCTGGGAAACCAGGCAAGCCTCAATAAATTTAAGAAGACTGAAATCATATCAAGCATCTTTTCCGACCATAATGCTATGAAACCAGGAATCAACTACAAGCAAAAAGCTAGAAAGTGACAAATATGTGGAGACTAAACAACATGCTCCTGAACAACCAATGGATAGATGAAGAAATTAAAGGATAAATCAAAAAAATATCTGGAGAAAAATGAAAATGAAAATACATCACACCAACTCATATGGGATGCAGCAAAAGCAGTCCTAAGAAGGAAATTCATAGCAATACAGGCCCACCTTAACGAACAAGAAAAATCTCAAATAAGTAATCTAAAACTACACCTAGCAGAACTAGAAAAAGAAGAACAAACAAAGCCCAAAGTTAGCAGAAGGAGGGAAATAATAAAAATTAGAACAGAAATAAATGAAATTGAAACCAATGAAACTAAGAGCTGGTTCTTTGAGAAGATAAACAAAATAGACAAATCCTTAGCTAGACTCACTAAGAAAAAAAGAGAGAAGGCTCAAATAAATCACATTAGAAATGAAAGAGGAGAAATTACAATGGATACCACAGAAATACAAAGGATCATAAGAGAATACTATGAAACACTATATGCCAACAAATTGGACAATCGAGGAGAAATGGACAAATTCCTACACTCATACAACCTCCCAAAACTGAATCAAGAAGAAATAGAGAATATGAATAGACCAATCACAAGTAAAGAGATTGAAACAGTAATCAAAAACCTCCCCCAAAATAAAAGTCCAGGACCAGATGGCTTCCCTGGAGAATTCTACCAAATATTCAAAGAAGATTTAATACCTATCCTTCTCAAACTATTCCAAAAAATTGAAGAAGATGGAACACTTCCTAACTCATTCTATGAGGCCAACATCACCCTGATCCCAAAGCCAGACAAGGATAACACAAAGAAGGAAAATCACAGGTCAATATCACTGATGAACATAGATGCAAAAATCCTCAACAAAATATTGGCAAACTGAATACAGCAATACATTAAAAGGATCATACACCACGATCAAGTGGGATCTATACCAGGGAAACAGGGATGTTGCAACATCCACAAATCAATCAACATGATACATCACATTAACAAAATGAGGAATAAAAATCAAATCATCATCTCAATAGATGCAGAAAAAGCATTTGACAAGATCCAACATCCATTTATGATAAAAAGTCTCAATAAAATGGGTATAGAAGGAAAGTACCTCAACATAATAAAGGCCACATATGACAAACCCACAGCCAACATCATACTCAATGGGGAAAAACTGAAAGCCATCCCTCTGAGAACAGGAACAAGACAAGGGTGCCCACTCGCATCACTCTTATTCAACATAGTACTGGAGGTTTTGGCCAGAGCAAGTAGGCAAGAAAAAGTGAACTGGCAAGGAAGAAGTGAAACTCTTGCTGTTTGTAGATGACATGATTCTATACATAGAAAACCCTAAAAAACCCATCAGAAAACTATTAGAAATAATCAACAACTACAGCAAAGTTGCAGGGTACAAAATCAACTTATAAAAATCAGTTGCATTTCTATACTCTAATAACGAACTAACAAAAAGAGAACTCAAGAAGACAATCCCATTTACAATAGCAACAAAAAGAATAAAATATCTAGGAATAAATTTAACCAAGGAGGTGAAAGACCTATACAATGAAAACTATAAGACATTATTGAAAGAAATCAATGATGACTTAAAGAAATGGAGAGACATCCCACGCACATGG